ACTAAATGATTATAAACGATTTTGTAAGTCCGTTAATAAAAAAAGCTTTGGATCCTAATTTGGATTGTCCAACTCGTTGGAACTCAACTTGGATATGATGCATACTGCCTTAAGGCAAAGGGAAACATTGCAAACATTTCACGATCGGCTTTTCGAGAGGGTCATGTCCCAAACATTTATCCGGATTCGAGTTTGTGAAATTATAGCCAAAATAACTGATTTGCTTGGGGTTTTTAAAAATGCAACAACTTTTTTATCTGGTGTTTATTACCCACTACTACCCGTTGGTTCTTAATCAAATATTTTTTGTTGCTACCCGACTAAATGACTTTGAATTTGAAACCGAAGTTTTTCAAGAAATTGGCTTTGCAATGAAGGAAAAACTTTTAAATATTTTTAAGGAGATTCCCCCCATTTTACTTGTGCCGCGCTTTAAACCCAACGTTAAATGTTGGCGGGGTTGAAACACTAATTGAACAAATTGCGTTTGCTTTTAATCTAACGATGATGAACCCAACTTTGTCCAAAACCAATAAATTATTTTAACAATGTTTCGAGACATTTGCAATTTATTTAACTAAATACGGATCAAGTAGTGTAATACACGATCAAATGAGAATGAATGCGGAATCATCTAGTAGACGTCAAAGAACATAAATTTGAATCTTTTTAACACTTGTAAATTCCCAATCCAAACGATCACGTACTCCACCCCAAGTAGCAAGTTTGAGAAATTACATGTCATGCGATTTTATCAAAATGGCATTTGAAGAGTTTGAAAGTTTGGATATTTTGGCTTGGTGGAAAGAAAATGAAGCACAATTTCCGATTCTAGCCGTCATGCCCGTAATTTACTAACCGTCCAAGCTTCTACGGTAGCTTCGGAATCCGCTTTTTCTGTTAGTGGCAAGGTTATATCGCAACGGAATCAATACTAAATCCCGAGTCGGTGGAAGTATGCATTTGTTTAAAGGATTATTTGGATGGAGCGGCTCGTAAGCAACATATCACCACCCTAGAAGATGCAATTGATGTCGATTTGGAAGCAAACTTACACATTGAAGAAGTCGAACTTGGAATATCCCCTCCAACAAGAAGGCGAAGAGATGAAGAAGAGATGGCAATGTAGTTTATTTTAAACTTTTTTTCAATTATCGAAACTTTGTTTCAATTATCGAACTTGAAGTTTTTAAGTATTTGATTTATCGACTTGGAAGTTTTTAAGTATTTGAATTTATCAAACTTGAAAGTATTTAAGTATTTAATTATCGTAAACTTTATTGCATTGATGACGAAAAAACCGGTTACTCCGGTTAGATATCCGGCCCTCCAAACCGGTTAGAAACCAACCGGTTATTTTATAAACCAATTTTTTTTCTATGGGAAAAAATCGGATCGGATAAAAACCGATCCGGATCATATTGAAATCCGACTTCTGTGCAACCCTAATGTCAACGGTGCTTCTCTGCCATGAGAAATTGGGTGGAGTTAGGAGTGATTGCCGGACAAGAGGTTGTTTTGGGAGGTGTGCACAGGCATTAGATTATTTGATACGGATTTGGTGGAGAGGTGCTATCACTATCGAGTTGAAGTTCGCTATGTTCAGAGGTTTTTGGACATCATTATCGAAGGGATGCATATCAGGTGATTGCCAACCTGAAGCACTACAGACTAAGCCATTCGGCACTGAGTTTCTTGAGGCTAGGAATTTTCAGCGGATTCTAGTTTTGCTTCATCAATTGTAATGACAAACCCAAAGTTGAATAATGCACATCACATGTAATTCATCCTAAAGGTACAACTTTTGAGAACCACTTGATCATGGACAGAGGCTCTGCCGAAAAGTCGCAAGCCATGGGTTTCTCTGGCGATCCGGTAATAGCCACATGTACAAGGACTTACACCACTCGTGATCCCATCAATGTCGGTGCAAGTCAACGGCACGTTCTTAGCCTTTGCAGTCATTCCAATCGTGACATTGGATATCCAGATTCGAGTAAAAGGGTCACCTTCGATCCCTTCCAACCTAGCCACCATCAACACATTATTCGTCACGACGTCTCTATAATTGATCCCTTGAATCACCGGCAACGCATTTGGATCGTAGTGGTTATCAACGTGTGTTTTGTAGTTCCCTTCATCCAAAACACCCATTTCATGGTATGCAAAGTCAATTCTCTTCACGAATCCGCCTCTTCCTCTAGCAGTCTCTTCCTCTGGCTCCCAGTGAGCCAGTCTGTCTAGCAGGAACATAAAGCTGAGCGCCGCCATCGGAAGCGTACTGGCTCAGATGATTGATACTGCATCTTTGAAATGCTTTAGTTTTTACCATAAGACTACTATGCACTCATAGCTGTGTACTCAAAGGCCTCCAATACCCTTCATTTCCTGGCCTCAGCGCCTCTTGGACCCAATATTAAAGCCCCAAGCACAAGGACTATGGCTACCAGGATCACCTGCTAGCTCAACAAGGCAAAGTAAGTACACATCGTATGTATAAAGAACAGAAAATCATTTGTTTTTGTTTGTAAATGACTCATCATTACCAGCTCCATTGTCGGAAAATCATCATTACAAAATGGTGTATTATATATCTCATGAGCTCTTGCCACTCTGCCTCCACGCCCACCGCCATTGCCGACCAAACATGAAACACCAATTTTTGTTGAAAATTTTAAAATAAAGACGTTATTTATCTTAAAATTTCAAAATATAAATAAATTAATATTTTCAAAACAATTATTTTTTGATAAAATATTTAAAAAATGTGAATTTTCTAAATGCTTTTTATAATTATTGGATTCTATTTTTTTTGGATTTTTTAAAAAGGAGATAAATAAACGAAGAGGATACCATTATCTTTGAAAATAAACGAAAAAGAACATGGAAAGCGTGTTCGACAACGAAAGGCAAAGAAAATTGTATTAAACGATTGACCTCTTTTGAGAAGCGATGCCGTTTTCACTTCTGTGTCAGCCATTTCAGATTCACTATATAACCCATCTATTGCTGCCTTTATTTGAACAGTTGGATGAAAACAAACTCTCTGTTGAAAGCGCACATCCTATTTGATTTTCTCAGCCTTCAACCATTATTCTGATTAAGCCCCGAGTCCAGACCATGAAAAACCATCGAAGGATGAAGAAAGCTTTCAATGGGATCAAACCACGAAAAAACATTCTTCTATTGCCCGAACTTTCCCCAGATTAGTAGTTTCTTCAATCTTTTTTATTTCAACTCTCAGCCTCTTCTACACACTACGCTTCTCCAATGCTTCAAATTCCTCTAATAACCAATTCAACATCAGCAGAACCATTCGAGTAAACGACCAAGAGCTGCCCCCGCCGGTTTCTTCCCCCAAAAACTCAACCCCCCCGTGAAAACACCTCCACCACATCGTTTTCGGCATTGCCGCTCGGCTCGGTTCTGGGAACAACGCAAAAAGTACATAAAACTCTGGTGGAAGCCCCAGCAAATGCGTGGCGTCGTCTGTTAGACAAGGCCGTGAAGAATGGGTCTTCCGACGAGGACCGTCTTTACCGCCGGTGAAGATCTCCGGTGACACATCCAAGTTAAAGTATAAGAACCCCAAAGGTCACCGGTCTGCCATAAGGATATCCCGCATAGTTTCGGAGACTCTGCGACTGGGGTTTGAAGACGTGAGATGGTTCGTAATGGGGGACGATGATACCTTCTTTGTGCCGGAGAATTTGGTTAGGGTTTTGTCGAAGTACGATCATAATCAGCTGTATTACATCGGGAGTTCTTCGGAGAGTCATTTGCAGAACATTAACTTCTCTTATGGTATGGCTTATGGCGGTGGTGGGTTTGCCATTAGTTACCCTTTGGCTAAAGCTCTTGCGAAAATGCAAGACCGATGCATACAGAGATCCAGGATTGTACGGCTCCGATGACCGGATTCACGCTTGTATGGCTGAGATGGGAGTTCCCCTCACCAAGGAACCGGGATTCCACCAGGTTTGTCTGCACTTTTTATGTATTTATTTACTTTTCTTTATATTCGTCCATTTTACTGAAATTTAAGAAAGAAATTGAATAATTCAAATGATTTAAGATTTTGGATTATCTTCTGGGTCGAAACTCGTGATTGTTTTGATTCTTCCATGGTGAAAACCCTGATTTTTTTTTCTTTTTTAAAGAAGGAAAATTATGTAAAAACAAACCATTTACAATTTTCTCGAGAATGTTAAATTTTGTTTTTTTAGGGGGTTTGCTCTAGGAGTGTAGGAATTAATTTTTTTTAATAAAAAACACCTTAATCTAGCCAGTAATGAAGTTATAGTCTTTCAGATTAGTTCATAAATTTTAATTAATTTAAATATGGTTAAACACAATCATATATTTTTCTGGGCATAATTTCTGGGAATTGATCTTAAATAAGTTGGTCAATTCATCTTATTTTATTCTAAAATTATCAACATTCAATGATAAATCGTTTTTTTTATCTAGGAGAGTATTTAAACATAAATAAGTATTATTTACAGATGACATTTAACTACGTGCCTCCAAGTTATGGCGCGTCGCATATATCACGGCATTGATATCCACACTTCTGAAATTTGGACCTCATCGCTACACTTGTCGCTTCTTCTTTTGATGTTCCTCTTCCGGTCTGTCGTAATAAATCTGTTTCCCGTCTCTTTAAATTCCCAATTATGGGGTCCTCACAACGTGTCTCGATCTTGGTCTAACTCAATATCTTGGATATGGACACGCGTTTTCATTTTATTGACTCGGTGGATGACCCATTCAACATCTTTCACAACTAATTGATGCCACTCTTCGCGCTCATCTTTTCTTTATTAATTTCTCTGATTCCCAGCTGTTAATAAATGGTTTCAAACTAACTGTATTTTTTGTTAATAATTGTTTTTGTCAGTACGATGTTTACGGTAGTCTATTGGGCCTGCTATCGGCGCACCCTGTTGCTCCATTAATCAGCATCCACCATCTCGACGTGGTCGAGCCCATATTCCCGAATGTGAACCGGGTTCAAGCCCTTCAACGTCTAAAGGTCCCAATAAATCTGGACTCGGCTGCAATAATGCAACAGTCTGTTTGCTACGACAAAACCCGAAGCTGGACGGTCTCGGTCAGTTGGGGCTATGCGGTTCAAATATACCGTGGTATATTTTCGGTTCGAGAACTGGAAATGCCGGCCAGAACATTCTTGAACTGGCATAAGAGAGCCGATTACACCGGCTTCTCTTTCAACACACGTCCCGTTGCCAAACATGCTTGCCAGAGACCGTTTGTGTTCTACTTGTCTAATGCTTTGTATAACAAGAACACGAATCAGACGGCTAGCGAGTATGCTCAGCACCGAATTCCAAGATCCGAGTGCAATTGGAAGATGGCGGATCCATCGCGGATTGAGAAAGTCCACGTTTATAAAAGCTTGATCCCCATTTGTGGGACAAGGTAACGTATGTTATTATTTTGGCTGGTCGAATTGAAGATAACAGTTATACGTTTGGTAATTGGTGTAAACTGTGTGGGCAGGCTCCGCGAAGGAATTGCTGCAGAGTGTTGCAGACAAAGAAGAGCACGATGGTTGTTGATGTAAGAGTTTGCGGAAGAAGATGTGATTGAATTGCGATGAGAGGGTTTCAGTGTTGCTCCATAATTTAAATTAATTACTCCCTTGGTCCTTCAGTGTAGTTTCGGTGACATGATACATTTGATAATGTATGTTGAAGAGCTGGTTATATCAAGGAGAGCGTCGTACTCTATTTTTTTAATAACCTACTGTTAAATTCCTAAAAAAAAATTTCTTTTGTAAGTATTTTGCATTATTCCAAAGAAGTACTCAAACCACTAAATCATAGTGTTCTCCATGTAAAGTTTGAGTTCGAATTCGAACAATTATATTTATAAGTGTATACTCAAAACCGCTTAATCAAAACCAACGTTAGTGGGCGTTGTAGCATAATTATTAATGAAAAGGGATGAAGGGATACTTGTAGTTTATATAAGCAAGATATGTAGTCTATATAGAAATGTAAGAGTGAATGAATAATGACATAATATTTTCATTGATGTTAGGAGATATAAAGCTTACACGAGAATTAGTTTGTTACAACAAAAAGATTTCTATACTAAAACTAATAACTAAAGAATAATAAGAATAAATCAATATTGTTAGATATGAATTGAATATCCTATATTTTAGGAGAATGAGATAAATACAATTAAATATATTAATTTAATTCTCTATTATGCCCCCGCAAGTTGGAGCACCTTGAGTTGAGACAAATCTTGTTCAATAAATCATGAAAACGTGTACGGGGTAATGGTTTGGTGAGTGCATCGGCAAGTTGATCCATTGAAGATACATGAGTGACTCGTAAGATGCCATCTTAAACTTGTTCGCGAATGAAGTGAAAGTCAAGAGCCACATATTTCATGCGAGAATGGAAGACTGGATTGGAGCAGAGGTTTGTTGCACCCACATTATCACAATAGATTACCGGTTGTTGTGAGGATGGAAATCCAAGTTCACTAAGAAGAGATGTTATCCATCTCACCTCAGCAGCTGTTGATGCAATAGATCGATACCCGACTTCAGTCGAGGAGCGAGCTACGGTTCGTTGCTTCTTCGAACTCCAGGATATCGGGTTGCGTCCTAGGTAGACGATATAAGCACTGGTGGAGGTGAAGTCATCTTTGTTACTAGCCTAGTCGACATTTGAGTAAGCATGTAGGGCTAGAGGTGACTGGCGATGTAACATGATGCCATGATCAATGGTGCCGCACAAATATCGAAGAAGTCGCTTGACAGCATTCCAGTGTTCGGTAGTCGGACGATGCATATATTGAGACAGTTTGTTGACTACATAGGCAATGTCTGGACGAGTAAGTGAGGGATATTGAAGACTACCAACCATAGCTCGAAATTGAGTTAGGTTAAGTGTTGTCCCAGACTGAAGAGTGAGGATGTGAGAGGTGGCAAGTGGAGTGGCGACTGGTCGAGCATCAATCATCTTTGTTTGAACCAACAAGTCGACAATGTATCTTCGTTGTGAGAGGAGAAGACCGTGAGGGCGAGGAACAACTTCAATACCAAGAAAGTAGTGAAGAGTGTCGAGGTCTTTAAGCGAGAAGCGACGAGCAAGAACCGAGATGAAGTCCTTGACTGATGCTGCATTGTTACCTGTGATGATGATGTCGTCAACATAAACAAGTAACATGATAGTTATACCTTTGTCATTAATAATAAACAAAGAGGTCGGCAACTAAGTTCAGGAAGT